TAACCAAGCTGTGCTACCACACCTAGTTAGCGTGGTGCTAGGGATGGGACCCTGGGTCCCGTGTGTCAGTTAGGCATTCTCCCAACTGATCCATATCCCATTCCCACCTTCTGTCTTCTGAAAACCTCAGAACGCTAGCGCCGTCCTTCTTGATTCGGGGATCTTGGTGATCAAAATAAGTCACCATGAGATCATTTTTGTATTACGCACATTATTCTGTCTACCCACATATCATAAACTCAGAATAGGGAACAGTAAAGTGGTGGATTAAATGAATTCATCAAAACCTAGGGACTCGCCAAAACCAGGTGGCTGGCTGACCACTGCTTTTGCCTCGGCCATCAGAGTGAGTCTACCCCCAAGACCACCTCTGCAGACACTGGGTAGACCATGCAGTTCTGCCTAGGAGCACTTGGAGGTACAGTTCAAAATATATTTTGTTTTAAGAGACAGGAGAAGGGAGGAGAGGTGGGGGGAGAGAAAGAAAGACAGAGACAGAGAGAACCTAACGTCCTCTGGTCTAGAAGGCCTCTGAGGGTGAAGCAGAGATGGACAGTGGCAGAAATAACTTCCTTATCAATGCTCCTGAGTCCCGGGCGCCAAGAGTTCAGGTCCGAGATCATTCAAGGAAACTAAGGTAGCGAGCGAATCTTCCACTTAACCCTGCAGACAGCACCGACTGCCTGGGTGCCTCCTTTACATGTTCACACTAGGACTCACTGGCGTCACTGGGAATCTAAGCCTTTTCCTTTCCTGAAAATTACAGCGTAAATCCAGGCTCTCGCCTGACTTCCGATATTGAAACAATGACTCTTCCGTGTAGAGAAGTGCAGCAGCCGTAAACAACATTCCCTTAGGCACACCTCCCTAGGTAGAGAAGAGGACTCAAATCTCACACAGGCAGGCTGGCCTCCTACAGAGGAGGAGGAGGAGTTGTTTTGGTCACTTTTTCTGAGGTCCTATCCTGCCAGGTTCTCTCAACCACTATCTACCCAGACAAACACATAGGCATGTTCCCCTCCTATTCCAATCGCTTCCATTAAAATAAATAATAAATAAATCCCAATCAGTACAGCTTACATTTCCACCTCTAAAGGCAAATCTAACAAACTCCAAGAAGGGGACAGTACGGGGACATTCCAGTTCTGGGTTCCGTGAAGCCTTCCAGTGAGGTGTTCTTAACGTCCAGGGTTAAGATAGTCACCCAATACCAACAGCCCTGTTTCTTGTTTACCGTATTCCTGAGATGAGAGCTCTGAGTATCGGTGCCATTTTGAGGATGACAAGCTATGGGGGTGGGCAGTGAGGTCTCCCAGTTAATTCCTAGACATACTGGGGAGCTGGCCCCGGGGCAAACCTTGAGGCTCGTTTTGGCCACTCTTTTCTGACTAAGACCATGGTGGCAGGACCGGGGGGTGGAGGACCTGCTTGATCATACATTCCGGGTAACCCAGACTTGACCCCAACAAAGGGCTCCCTGGCAAAACAGAGGTGAAAACAGAGGGTAATTAGTCCTTCTCAGGGGGGGGGGGGGACACGACAATGAGCTCGTCTTCAGCCCATCTCTCCTGCTATTTTACAGCAACATCATTGATTTCAAAGGGTTACAGACAAACACTGTATGTGCAGTTGCTTCAGGTGAAGAAAGGCTTTCAACCGAACACAGCAAGACTCCAAACGGATTATCCAGGGCCACTGTGAGAATCTTGTCATGAAATCTTCCATAAAAGACCACAGTGTCTTTAGAATTGGTGAATTCTGGCGAGAAAGCACTTTCTATGAATGTATTTCAAGGTGTCGTCGACCATTCTCGGTCTAACACTAAGACCAAAATCAGAGTCAAGTCTGTCCCAAGAGTAACAAACTAGCCCTGTTTCTGAACAGACCCTTTCCTTGGAAGTTTGGGAGCCGGGTGGTGCCTTTAATCCCAGTGCTCGGCAGGCAGAGACAGGTGGATCTCTGTGAATTTGAGGTCAGCCTGGTCTACAGAGCAAGTGCCAGGACAGCCAGGGCTACACAGAGAAACCCCATCTTGAAAAAAATAAAATAAAAAGCAAACTATGATACAGGCACTATTTCTCGTTCTCTTTATGAGAAAAACAGATGTGGGCCCAAAGCGAGCTCCCAGCCGGATGGGCACCACAGACAGAGCAGATCCTGTCACGCGCACAGGCAACGATCCCTCACTCACTCAAGCTACCTAGTCAGAGGGTCTGCACAGCATATCATCACATAGTCTTGGTTTCAGAGCTCAGAATGAGGAGTATTAGTAGGTATTTAGAAATAACAGTCAGTCTCCAGAAACACACACCTAAAGCTGTCTAGCTCCTGGGTTCAGACAGCAAGAATTTGGGTAATGAGGAAACCTGAGAATAAAGCCTCTACAGAGGGTTGGGGTCCCAGGGGAGGACTAAAGAAAGACCAGCACAGCCTCCCCCAGGGAGGTGACAGGTGACCTGAGAGAGAGCTAAAGAAAGAAGGGGAGTAGAGAAGATGCTGGAGAGAGGGGCAAAATACCCTGTTTTCTTTCATAATCAGAGTCTCGATTTGAGAGAGAGAGAGAGAGAGAGAGAGAAGAAGGAGGAGGAGGAGGAGGAGGAGGAGGAGGAGGACTATAGGACTTAGGACTTGAACGTTAAGTCCCTCCATTTCAGTCCAGCCAGAGGAACTGACACACAGAATGATCAAGTAATACCCCCTCAACCCAGTTAGTTTTAAAGCAATACTTTTAGTTTTCCTAGAACACTGGCTAAATACTTTGTACATGGAATAAACTAGAAGAGATTCCTCCCTTCCCTGTGTGATGTTAAAGCACTATGGTGATTTATCAAGGCGTCCTGGGTTTCACGGATCTGCTGCTGGGTAGAATCATGAAACTGTCCCCACTGCAATTCAAACAAACAAAAACCCTCAGGGAGTACTCTGAAGTGGTGGAAATATAGTCTTCATTTAGAGAAGCTAGATACATGGATGTATACAACTATATTTAAGATCCGTGTGTTGGGGCGTATGTAAACTAAAGCCTTCTTTCGTTTGCTTTTGTTTGTTGTCTGTGACAGGCTCTCATTCTGAGACAAAAAACTAGCCTGCCTCGACTGCCCAAATGCTGGGGTCAAAGGTACACACCACCATGCCCCGAAATTCTTATTCTCTTTTTGCTAAAGGTGAAACATATGTCAGGGGTCTTGTGTTTTTGTTTGAGAGCCCTAACCTAACCAGTCTTACGGACGTAGCATCCGGGCATTTGTGTTTTCTACCCACCCCGTGATTCCTGCCGGATTCGTGGCTAACCGGGAACACCTGAGCTCCAGAAGCTTTAGAAATACTTAGACACTAGAGGCTTTGAACCACTTCTGAGTAAACTCATTTTAGCTTGGTTCATATTCGAATGTTATGACAACCAATCACTCTGATGACTTTAAAAACAGCCAAGCAACATTCTCAGCTAAGTTACAAAAAGAATTCCATTTAACTTTTCAAATAGTTCAGTAATTCTTCCCAGGAAATGCAAATTACTCCCAATCAGTAAAGTTGCCAGAGTTCACGCCTAGTGATAATTCAGCCCAAATCACCTTCGGCTGAAGCCGACCACTGCCAAGTTTATCCTGAAACTGCTGACGTGTGCATGAATTTCCAGGAAAAAGGACAAGGCTATTTTAATTCTGGTGGTGGAAGAAGAGCTCAGAGAGGGTTAAATTATTTTAGGAGACAGAAGGAACAACCATCTTTGGAGGCCTTCCGGATTTGTTAACAGAAAGCTAAACACACAAACATGGTAACTTAATTTGTTGACTCTGCCCTCAAAGTGGCAAAAACAGAGTCATCATGGTGCCAGTGCCATGGTTTCAGTCCAAAAGCTGAATGACCTCATGTCAAACTGGCCATGCCCATGGCCGGTAATATTATAATATTATTATTTTATATATGTGTGTGTGTGTGTGTGTGTGTATTACAGTATAATACAATAGTAATATCATAGTAATATTGGTGTTTTTTTAAGTCAATTTAAAACACCAAAGTTTGGAGAGTGTGGATACAGCAATATCTAAGAGTTGTCTATGCGGGTCTTCCTCTCCTCCGCAGTCAGGTCATCCCAGGGTGGGTTTTTCAGCCCAGCCTCCACTCTCTCCCTTCATCTAAGCATTCTGTCCTGGTGTGGAGTGCCCCCACTTCCTGTTACTACAGCGCCATACTCTATTGCAAATCATGACTCACCCTTAAATCACAGAGAGACTCATCACATTCCCAGAATTCACAGCACATAGGAACTCAATCTTTCAAGAGGGCTGCATTCTTAAGACATTACAGAAGACAGAGCACAAGACCCGGCTCATGAGAAATCATGTCAACCCATCCTCAATAAATACAGGCTCAATGTTTGGCAACTTGAGTCTCGGTCCTCATTATTAAAATGTACCATGGGGGATGTTATGTGAAAATCAGCTCTTTTTAAAAGGATGCCAATGGCTCCAATAAAAGCCTCCGAGCACATGCGTTCCTGTGTGTCTGTGTACACAACACACGTTTCAAAAGACTACGAACATATACAATGAAATGTTAGCAGCGGGATTTCTGGCAACGTCCATTGTTGTCTTTGTGGCTTTCTATGTTTTCCTAAGGTAATTTGTGATATTTTTCACAACCAAGAAAAACAGAAAAAGGAGCCTTTAGGAGATAGATGGCTTCTGACAGGTGTGGTTCCAACCTGCTCTAAACCACCCTGCGACAGCCAAGAGGAGCTAAGGTGACCGCTGCACGGGAAACGTCTGCCCAGAACGTACAAGGCTTTTGGATGAACGTGACGGGCTTCATGCCATTCATGAACACAAGTGAGGAAAAAGCAGGCTGAGGAGGGGCTCACCAGGGTAGAATCAGGTAGACAGAGAGCACACTGCTCTTTATGCGCAAGGAGGAGCCTGAGGCCTGGAAGGGACAGAGGACTAAGTCACTGCCGAGGCATGTCAAGGACCCAACCTATCTGCTGGCGAGGGGTAACTCACCTCGCTTCAGGAAGTCACATCCAATTATGTGCCTTGGGCTTGTCCATAGGTTATGTCTTGTAATGTCTGGCGATACCGTCTATAGAATTAGAAAATCCAGCGTCCGATCACTGGGCAGGAATATCTTAACTGCCCGGAAGTCCTCTAAAACCAATTTCAGGAAAAGATTTAAGTTCCAAAAAGTTACAACAAACATAAATTTTAATGGATGACCTCAGAGTTGCATATACTGTACATTAGCAGTTTTGAATGAAATGATTGCTCACATGAGACAAAAAGGGGAGTTTTTTTTTAAATAAATGCTTAGGTGACTTCAAAATTCAGTGGGGTTGATTAAAAAAAAAAAAAAACCTGATCTCCCTCATCCAAATACTGCCTTTCCCGTCTACTAGGCTTCAGCGCTGGTTGTGTGAGGAAGACTCGGTGCTTAGGGAGGCTCAAAAATTCAGCTCACAAAAGTCACTGTGTCACAAGGTCAGGATTTGTCTGTCATTCTGTGGCACGGAGAAGAAGACAGACAAGAATGGGACAAGGCAGAGAGAGAGAGAGAGAGAGAGACAGACAAGGACAGAAGCAGGCGTTAACAGCTTGTTGTCATAACGAGACGGACCACTGAGGGCTTCTGATGCCCATTTATTTGTTGAGCCAATGCCTACGAGAGCCTTTATCACCAGCATCACTAAGGGGAAGGAGAGAGGCTTGGTGTAAGCACTACACGTGGGGCTCGTGGATTACTTATGGGGAGGTGTCCTGAACATTGCTGGATGAGTAACAGTACCAGGGTTGCTAGATGCCAGTTGTACCCCTGTAGGCAAAATCATTCTGGTTGAAAACCACAGAAGCAGATCTCGGGCACCTTCAATAAATCAGACTCCACTGTCCTCCTTTCTGATCAGAACCGTGGTTCTCAACCTGTGGGTCGCAACCCCTTGGGGTCACGTGTCAGATATTGACATTACGATTCCCAAGAGTAGCAAAACTGCCATTGTGAAGTAGCAATGAAAATAATTTTGTGGTTGTGGTGGGGGGGGGGGGGGGGGAATCACCACGGGAATTGTATTAAAGATTCGCAGCATTAGGAAGGCTGAGAACCACTGGCTCAGAGGGAAGTGTTCGCAACCTGGACCTCTGGGGAACTCTCCTGCAGAAGGATGCCCGCTTGGAAGTCAGCTAGAAGAACAACGTTCTGTTGTCCAATTCGGCCACTCAGCATCAACCATTCACTGACCACCCTCTAGAAAAGGTGCCAAGGAAATCCTGGCCTAAGCCCACTGACTCCATAGGGTGGAGTGGCTGGGTTGGTTTCAGGATCCATTTGCCACTGGAGGAGTCACGGCAACACCTTACAAGAGGGGGAGAGGCAGAATGTCCTTGTCAAGAAAGGGCCCCCTGTGCTTCCAGTGGGGTTCTGGAAAATTCTTTGTCCTTTTTAGCAACTCTACCCATTTCAACAGTCAACATTTAAAGGCAGAGAGAGAAGGGGGGAGGGAGAGAGGGAGGAAGGAAGAGGAGGAAGAAAGAAAGAAAGAAAAAAAAGAAAGAAAGAAAAAAAGAAAGAAAGAGAGAGAACAAGAAAAAGCCAGAAGGCCTGAGCTATATTTGGCATGGAAAAGGCCACCACTTTTCGTGCTCTGGGGGTTTTGCAAGCGAAGCCATTACTGGAAGCTTGGGACACTTCTGTCCGACAGTCTCCTTAACTGTCTGACCTGCATGCCCTCCTAACACAGCCTGTAATTTTATAATCCTCATAAATTCAAACTCATAACTGACCTTTTCCAAATAAACGTGTGCCACAGAGAGGGGGAAAAGGAGAGAGACCAGAGAATATTGTGTTGGGCAATCAGGCTCAGAAATCGATTTAGGTTCATTAATAGATCCCGGAACATGCTGGGTTTCCCAACTCCTCCCTCCACACCCCCCCCACCACCACCACCACAACAAAGCCGAGGCACAGATGGGAGAGGATGGGCAGGCGTGTGTGTGTGTGTGTGTGTGTGTGTGTGTGTGTGTGTGTGAAAGAGTTGATTGGACAACAGAAAACAAAACAGAACCCACACACACGCGCACACACACATGCAGGCACACAGGAAAAGCATGTTCGACTTGAGAACCAAAATGGCCAAAGAGACTTCCAAGTTTCTGGAGACTGCCCTGGAAAGACTGGCGGGGTGGAGGAGGCACCTCTAAGTCAATAAGGCGGTGACTCGCCTCGCTCCGCAGCGCCTGCTCCGCAGGCTGACAGCGGCTTGCACAAAACCCCTCCTGTGCGGAGCAGCGGAAACTCCCAATGAGATTAGTCGGTGTGTGTGTGCAGACATTACTTAGCAATGACTAAAGGGGCTCTCTTCCTGCGGCCGCCAGTGGAAAATTCAAGGAACATTTTTCCCCCTGCAGCAGCAGAATCCCTTTAACCCTCTCCCCAGCCAAGTCCAAAACAACTCGGCCTCCCCCTCACCACCCCCAACTGCCCCCACCTCGGGCAGAGGACTGTAGGGAGTTAAAGGCCAGCGAGGGGCTTTCAAAGCAGGGAGGGAGGGAGGGAGAGAGGGGGCCGGCGGGGAAGGGGCGGGGGACCCTCGAACACTACAAAGGAAACTGTAAAAGGCACAAATACATAAACCTGAGAAGCAGCAAACCACAGTTTCTTTGTGAGCTCCTCAGTGAGTCATTTTCAAGATGCTGTCTGCAGCCAGTTTCAAAGCGGAAGCGCACGGCAATTAGTCTTGCCGTTTCCAGACAAGCCAGAAACTCTCCCGACACTCGTTTTTTTTTTTTTCCTTCTAAAAAGCCCCTTTTGCAGTTTCTGAAATAGCCTTTCTTGCTGCCACCCCCACCCCACCGCGTAACAGCAGCTTAGCCTTGGAATGATTCGGTTCAGAAAACGTAACAAACCAGAGACCTTTTAATTTTTTTTTAGCGCTCGCTCCCAATTTAACCCCCCCTCCTCCTAAAAATAAAATAAAATAAAGTTCCAGCAACAGTACAGGCCAGCAGCGAGTTGGAAGTTAAAGAACTGAGAACTTCAAGAGCATCCTTTGCCCGGCCAGTCTCCCAAACCCGAATCCAGACCAGCAGACTCGGCCGGCTTTTAAATGTCCGTTTGATTGGGCGTGCGCCTGGGGCGGTGACCTGGGCGGGGGTCACCTGCCCAGCGAGAGTGGACGCGCAGCCCCAGGCCCCACATCTCCACGGCCCACGTCCTTCACCTCCACTCCATCCCTGTGCCGTCCCTGGATCTGAGCACCCGCGACTTGGTGCCCATCATGAAGGGATCCCGACCGCAACCCCGGCTGGAGGTCAGCCTCCAGCCACGCAGCCCGCTCCAGCCACCATCCTCAATCCCAGGGCCCTGGAGCCTCGCTCGTCAGCCTGCAGGGGTGCGGGAGCTTGCACACCGGGTGTCCCTTTCCCTGGCTTCGCAGCGCAGCCACGCATGAGCCAGGCCAACGCATGAGCTCCTGCGGTGGCGGCGGTGGCGGTGACGGCGCGCAGCATCCTCCCCCACGGGGACGCACCCCCATCCTCCCCCACCACAGTCCACAACCCACCCCACAGCGCCCACCGCCCCACCCCCACCAGCCAAAGAAAAGAAAGAAGGGGGAAAAGGGGGGAAAAAACTACCAAGAAGAAAACTTTGCAAGCATTGGAGCAACAGGCAAACAGTCCTGCAACCTACCCAGATGTGGGGGAGCGTTTGGGAGTCTTCTTGGGGAGATTTCTAGGAGGACCCGGGCGAAAGCCCCCGACTTTCCATGCTGACAGGCGTCTGCAGACGGTCTGTTGCTCTTGTAATGAGATCCTGATTTTTCCCCCTTTTTTTCTTTCTCTCGCTCCTCTTTTTTTTTTTTTTTTTCCTCTGCTGTGTGTGAGAGCAGGAAGTTGGAGCAGTCAGGCCGAGCCTGCTCACTTCCTTTACTGCATTATTCCCCAGGCGGTGTGCAGTCTGTGTAAACAGGCTTTTCCGCCCCGCGCCGCGCGCCCGGGCCGCGGCTGTGCGCCGGGGCTGCCCTCCCAGACCCGCGCATACCCCCGGCGCCGGGCCCCGCGCCCGCCCGCACGCCCCGCGCGCCCCCGCGCCGCGCCCGCCCCGCTTCCTGCTCGGCCACCCTAGGGGAGGAGCCTGGGGACCCGCCGGCAAGGCCGCCGCCCCTCCACTACACGGCGGGCTCCGTCAGCTCCCGTGCACCCGGGTGCCTGAGCTGGGCATCACCCTGGGATTGTGCCCTGCAGAGTTGGCCTGCAAGGGAGCTGGGCGTGCTGTTCTGTGTCCGTAGGCATGGAAGAGTTGGGGGCAGGAGGGATCGCGATTGGGGTTCAGGGCTTGAATGCTCTGGGCACTGGGCTGCTTTTATTGCAGACCAGGCAAATTAGGGTGAAAAGATTTAGGGTGTACACAAAAACAGCTTCCTAGAGATGCTGCCGGGGACTTATTTAACAGCAACAATATACCTAATAATAATAGTAATAATTTAAAGCCAATTTTAGAGTTAGGGTCGGTCCTCTTTGCGGAAAACTTTTTTAAAGAGCCTCAGGTTTCTTGAGACAGAGGCGGCTAGGGCTGGGGAGATGGCTCAGCTCTTAAAGACTAGACTCACAACCAGAAATAAAAGAAAGAGGCAGGTAAAGTAGCTTAACAGACACCACCGTCTTGTGCCCACTTAGGCGCTCCAGATGGCTGGAAACTCCGGAAGGAGCACCCCGTGGTCTCAAGTCTGGACTCCCCACCCCTGAGAGCACTGGCCAGGATCTGATTGGAGACTTGGACATGGCTCTGAGGCTGCAGGGGGGAATGGGTCTCTTATTAATAAGCCCTCCACACAGTTTCCCCAGCCCCAGCTTCTGCTTCAAACTCACAGCCTTCCAGAACCTTCCAGCCCCATGCCCTCACTCAATAGGACTTCAGACCAGTGGGTTTCAAACCTGAACGTTCAGCGGGGTGGGGGTGGGAGTGTATTGTTAGAATTCTAATTGCTGGGCCTGACCACGTCTGCCCCTTGTTCCCCTCTTCCCGTTGTGTCTGGTATGATTGTCAACCCGGGATAACAGAATCATCAGGTTGGGATGGGGGTGGAGGGGCCTTGAAGACTGGCCACAGCAGTCTCCAGGTCAGAAAGACCACATACTGACATTGCCTAGTATTTGTGATGTGTCTGAATGATTGCTAGTTTTTTAAGTATCTCCTTGCTATTAAAGGTCCGAGGGATTAGGTTCATGGAAGTAAATACCACCTCCCCCTCCCCCAATGCCTATCTGAACACCCTGTTAAACAGGGCCAGCATCTTTGCTTGATAACTGATGTGTGTGTGACCTCCTGGTTGGGACCAGGCTCCCCAGTGCTCTGAGCAGAAACTGGTAAGAGGTGAAACAGAAGGAGTGGTTATGAGAAAGGAGTCTGTTGATCAAACCCTGATTTTTCCACCGCTAATTTTCCATTTTGGAGATTATCATTTAAAATGCCTAGCTGGCTTCTCCTGTCACTCAGCAGAGCTGAGACTGTATGTGTCCCTATACGAGCCAGCTGTCCGCGTGAACTGAATGTAGAATGTAATCGTATCATCCAACTCAGAAGCCCAGGTGCTTAGGAACTCATGTTGCTTTTTTATTTTAAAGAGTTCGTGTCTGAGAGAAGCCAGTGTGAAGACTGTGGCATGGTTCCAGCTCTTCCAGAAAAGGTGGAACTATGGAGGCAGGGAGAACGTTGTGGTCACGGGGGTTGGGGACAAGGAGGGAATGGATAGGCAGAACAAGACCTTTAGGGCCAGGGATGAGCTGCTCCGTGTGATGCTACCGGTTGGGTGCATGTACCATCGCATCAGGCAAAACCCACAGGTTGTCTTCAGGGCCCCTGGAAAGGATGTGTCTATGTGTCAAGGCAGGTCATTTGTAAGTGGTACATTCCTCTCTTGGGGAGGATTGCTGGGGGGTTAGGGACACAAAGGCCTCTACAGCAGCTCAGAAAGAAAGCTCTCGAAGTCTGCACCAGTCTCGCTAGAGATTTATCTCCGAGGTAAAGTAGTTGCCTAGCATGTACAAACCGTAAATTCAATCCTCGGCACAGAAATAAACAAACAAACCAATAGGTAGGTAGGTAGGTAGATAGATAGATAGATAGATAGATAGATAGATAGATAGATAGATGGGGGAGAATTGCAGATAGCTTCTTTAAAAGCTTCTTTAAAAGCGGAGAAGAAATCAAATTATTTTAGAACCAGAATGAGTAATAGTAGATGCTTGGGGATTGGTGGTTCTGGGGAGAAACCACACCGTGGTCAGCCAACATTGCTTTAGAAAGACTTCAGTATTAGGGGTGCGAGAGAGTTTAATGCTTGGGAATGGACAGTCCAATGGGGCAACGAGAGGGCGACTCACTCCGGGGAACATGTTCACTGCAGGACCTGGTCCTACCGTGTCCCTCTGAACTGTCCGGCTTCGCTGAGCTGGAACAAGCACCCATTTCTGCTGATTTTTTTTTTATCAGTGAAAGCCAAATTTACATTTAAAACAACATGTATTATGGAGTGGGATTTTTAAATGTTTGTGAATTTCATTTAAAGGCTGATTTTTTTTTTTATCAGTGAAAGCCAAATTTACATTTAAAACAACATGTATTACGGAGTGGGATTTTTAAATGTTTGTGAATTTCATTTAAAGGCACTTTAAACATGTTTTATAGACTTGTAGGTGGCCTCGTGGGAGCTGGCCTCCCACCCTTGTGGTTACAGGATTTGCTGAGGACGCTGAGAAGCATGGGCTTGGATTCGGATTGTCTCAGGAGTCTACTGCCTGTTCCTGTGTAGCTACACTGAAGAAGATTCTCTTTTTCCTTTGTAATTATAGTTTGGGTGGGGGGAGATACAGCGAGATCTGCCAGGCTTAAGTGGAAGAATTTCTTTTTCTTTCTGTAATTGTAGCTTTGAGAAAATAAGGCGGTAAAATGTACCTGTTTGAAAGGTCTAGTTCAGTCATGTTGAGTGTGTTTACTTTGTTAGGAGGCTGATCCCCCAGAATACATTCATCTTGTAAAAGTGTACTTAATGGCTGTCACCATTAAGTGCGACCTTGCCCCCACCCTTACCCCGCCCCGAGCCTTTGGAAGGTCTCTTTCTACTTCTAGCTCCTATGGATTGGATGAGATGCTTCCTGTAAGTGGAATTACACCATCATTGTCTCTCCTCCCCTGGCTTATTTCACTTAGCACAATGTCCTTAAGACTAAAACCAAAGACTTTTCCAGTATGTGTAGATGCCACTGATGGGCATTTGAGATGTTCCCCTCTCTTGGCTACTAGAAATAATAAGAATCTGTTTGCTTTCATTTATTTTTGTGATGCCAAGGGTCAAGTCCAAGGCTTTGTATGTATTAAATAATCTGCTACATCCCAAGCCCAAGAATTTACATTTTTAAATGGCTGAAAACATAATTTTTAAAAGGTCACATTTTATAGCATACACATTACATTTTGGCATCCATAAAGTTTTACCGGGATATAGATATGCATATTTATTTATACACTGTCTAGCATTGTGTTTGCTCTATAAGGGAATGAATGGAAGCCCTGACAGAGACCTTACGGTCTGGACAATTGAAAGTCATTTCCGTTTTGGTTCTTTCCAGGAAACATTTGTCTACCACAAGTTTATCCAAAGGGATTATGCATCCTTTTTGATTGCTGTTGTTCCTTTGGGGGATGTGGCGTGTTTACTTGTCTCATTTTGGTTTGCTTTAGGCTTGCCTTTGGAAATTTTGAGATAGGGTTTGGTTTCACAGCCCACCCAGGCTTATCTCAGATTTCTGGTCCTCCTGCCTCAGCCTCCCAAGTGTTGGGATTAGGAGCGTATACCACCATGCTGGGAAGGGCTTGACTTTTATAGGGTTTGCTTCCTTGTTCCAAAGCAAGCCTTTATGTGTCAAAACAGATGAAAATGTTGGCGTCTTTAACAACCTTCACGTCCACGAATTTCATCTTCAAAGTGAACTATGCCTCGTTTGGTTTGTCTTCTTTGGTCTTCTGAAGAGGTAAAAACCAGCTGGCTCTTCCAGTCACAGCCCTGAGACACCCTTCGAGACTTTATTCATAGTTTCTGAGCAGACCTGAGCCTCACTCCTGATGGGCTGTAAGCCTGGTTTCACATCACAGCTGCTTGCACGGGCCTCACCCCTGGGAGGCTGATGTCAAACTCAGGAATCTGCATTTCTCCAAGGCTCTATCCAGATCACCTTTGTCCTTGAAACACACACACACACTGGACGGTAAATGTCTTCCCGGTTCCTCACCCCTCTCACATCCGGTTTCCTCCTAGCAGCCTTCCAAGATCAACCAGATAAACCACCTGGACCGTTTCTCCTTACCCATACACTATTGTGTTTGAACTTGCTGGGGGCCCATTGAGCAATTTGTTCCTACCTGTCAAATTCTTTAATTGGATAATTTGTCTCTGCCCTGTGGGTCAGATTCTTGGAGAGGGAAATGTGACCTTTGTGCTGTAGTAGACACTATCCGTCACACCTGGGAAATGGCTAGAAAGCCTTCTGTCCCCACTCTGCAGACGGTCACACCGTCTGAGGCAGCTGGGTTCCACCCTCCTCTCGGATTCGTGGGATGTGCGAAGTGATACTCCTCCTTTCACACTCAGACTTACCAGACTATCCCAACTTCTTTGTGCGTCTCCTCCTGCTGTGCACGCCCGTTAAAACAGACCTAAAGCTGGGCCTGATGTGGTAGCACACGCCTGGACTACCGAGACCCAGGAAGCTGGGGCAGCTGGACCATGAGTGTTAAGTCAGCCTTGGCTATTGGGCCAGACCCTGTTTCATTAAGTAAATGAATGAAATACAAGCTAACAACACAAGTATAGCCAAGGCAAGACTCAGAGACCCACATTTGCCTGGGATCATGCAGCATGAACAACGTGGAAATGATATTGCAGGTACATCTTTCTGCGGGTACCAGAACAATTTCTTGTTAGCAAATTAATGCTTTGACCTCGGTTTCTGTTCGTCTCAACACAAATCACCATCATTTATGCCCTGGCAATGCTTAAGCATGGACAGCCCGTTTATGGTGGCTCTCCAGTTGTTC